GCCACCGCAACCACGACCTGCTGGGCTCCGGCGATCCTTCCGCCTCAGCCTTCCAAGTAGCCTGAACTACAGGCACACGCTACCATGCCCGGCTAATTTTTTGATTTATTGTAAAGATGAGGTCTTGCCAAGTTGCCCAGGTGGGTCTCGAACCCGGGGGCTCAGGCAATTTACTCACCTCGGCCTCCCAAAGCACGGGATTACAGGCTGAGCCACCAAGCCTGGCTCATAATAGATGTTAACTGATGGTTTATGTTCTCAGTAAGGCAGTGACCCGAGGGCTCGGGGATGGCTTGGGCTCAGCTCTCATGCCCCAGGGCTTGCCCTGACTTCCGGGACTGTGGCAGGGGTCACAGTAGGTCAACAGTAGGTATAAGTAGTTAAGTTTTGGAGGAGTCAAAAGTTATACATTGAATTTTGGACTGTGTGGGGGGCCCAGCAGCCCTAATCCCCGTGTCGGTCAAGGGTCAACTGTGTTTGTTCTGTGAACGAATCTCAGTATAACATTTCTGAGAAGACTACGAAGATAATGGAAGAACACGACTGTGTGTAATATTTAAATACGACTTGACTTCCTCCACCAGAAGAGGAGGGAAGGGAGAGGCTGCCCTTGAATTCTAAGCTTTATTCTCCTCCTTCCCAGAAAGAGGGGCTTTCCACGACCCCACTGGGAATACTGAAGAGGGGGTCTGTCACAGCACAACAGCTGGCACGTGGCAGTGAGGGGAGAATCGTGATGGAGGAATGTCTGTATGGATTCTCCATCCACTTCCCTGTTTCCCTGCCCTCCCTGCCTGGTGCTCTTGCCAGTATCCAGGATGCAAGACAGTCCCTGATCTTTCAGCAGAGCAAAAGGAAGCGCCCGAGATGTGACACAGACCAACCCCTCTCTCTAAATGCTTCGAGTAAATTAGTCATCGGCAGCTCACATCATGAAGTTGATTTTCACTCAGGAAGACATACCTACGTTTCAATAGTTAAAATCAACTTTATGCAGGCACAGTTTACAAACAATAAAATATACCCATTTTGAGTGCACAGTTCAATGAGTTTTGACAAATGTGTATACCGATAGAACTATAGCTGAAAAGATAGATACCATTTTCTATCACCCTAAAAAGTTCTTTCAGGACACTGTGTAACCAATCAATGCCCAGACTTCAGGTCAAGGAAACACCGGTCTGCTTTCTGTCATTATAGATTAGTTTCTCCTGTTCCAGACATTATATCAAGGGAATGGTATGACACTGTTGTATCCTTTGTGTCCAACTTTTTTTGTCCAGCATATGGTTCTAGGATCCAGCCATGCTGCTGAGTATTTCAGTCATTCATTCTTTTCAGTGCTGAGTGGAACTCTACTGTGCAGATATATTCACATTTTAATATTTTTCTATATTGACTTGATTCTAGTGATCTTGCTCGATTCACTTGCCTCTGGCAGCATTTTTTTGAGTTGGGGTCTCGCTCTGTCACCCAGGCTGGAGTGCAGTGGCAAAGCCACGGCTCATCATAGCCACAACTGCATGGGCTCAGGCAAGCCTGCTGCTTCAGCCTCCAGAGGAGCTGGGACTAGGGGAGCACACCACCACGCCCAGCTAACTTTTAAATTTTTTTTTCTGTAGAGATGATATCTTGCTGCGTTGCCTAGACAAGACTCAAACTCTGGGCTCAAGCAATCACCTGCCTCGGCCTCCCAAAATACTGGGATTACAGGTGTGAGCCACCGTGCCTGGCCTCTGGTAGCAATTTTTTTTTTTTTTGTGGGTTCCGTGGATACAAAATGGATACAATCGTGTATATGTATGCATACAATCATGTCCTTTGTGAGTAAAGCCAATATACATTTTTGCTTCCCATCTATGTGCCTCTATTTCTTTTCCTCGCCTTATTGCACTTGCTAGGACTTTTGCTATGAGGTTAAGTAGAAGCAAGAACAGGCTCCTCGGACTGTCCCTGATGCTGTGGGGAGTGTGCTGAGTGCTTCATCACTATGTTTTCTGTAGGTTATTCACAGACAATCTGTACCAGGTTGGGGAAGTTTCCTTCCACTCCTGAAGTGCTGAGTGCTTTTTTCATTGATGTTAAATTTTGTCATATACTTTTCCTGCATTTCTTGAGACAATATGATTTTTCTTTTATTCTGTTAATGAAGTCAAATACACTGTTTAGTTTTTTTTTCTAGTTTTATTTTAGTTTTTTTCACATTTTTTTTTTTTTTTTTTTGAGTTGGAGCCTCACTCTGTCGCCCAGATTGGAGTGCAGTGGCCGTTCCCGGCCACTGCAGCCTCAAACTGCTGGGCTCCGGCGATCCTTCCGCCTCAGCCTTCCGAGTAGCTGGAATTACAGGCACGCGCTGTAAAATACAATATCTTACCATGCCCGGCTGATTTTTTAATTTTATTGTAGAGATGAGGTCTCGCCAAGTTGCCCAGGCGGGTCTTGAACCCACAGGCTCAGGCAGTCCACTCACTTCAGCCTCCCAAAGGGTGGGATTACAGGCTGAGCCACCGAGCCCAGCTAGTTTTTTTCACATTAAAACAATCTTGTATTCCTAGGATAAAACTCTGGGATAATGTATTATCCTTTTTACATCTTGCTGGATTCAATTACTAATATTTTGTTAAAGATTTATTACATCTATTTTTAGGATTTTGGTTTGTGGTTTTCTTTTCTTATGATGTCTTTGTCTTAGGGTTTTGCTCTTAGGGCAATGCTAACTTCATAAAATGAGTTAGGAAGTGTTCTCTATCTTTTAAAAGTTTTTTCCTTTCAGTACTTTAAAGATGTCATTCCATTATCTTCTGACTTGCCTGCTGTTTCTGGTGAGAAGTCAATGTTAATTCTTATTTATGTTTCCTTGCATCTAATGTGTCTTTTTTCCCAACCCCTCTGGCAGCTTTTAAGATTTTTAGCAAGTTGATTACACTGTGCTTTGGTGTGGCTTCCTTTGTGTTTAGCATTCTAAGGGTTTATTGAGTTTTTTAAATTTTAATTTTGATTGATTAATTGAGCTTTTTGATCTGTGGATTTACAGCTTTCATCAAATCTGGAAAAATTTCAGCTATTATCTCTTTGAATATTTTTCTCTTTTTACTTGACCACTTAATATTGTTTCACAGGCCACTAAATTTTAGTTCATTTTCTTCAGTCTTTTGCATCTCTGTACTTCAGTTTGGACATTTTCCGTTGCTATGTTTTCAAATTGACTGATGCTTTGTTTGGGCAGTGACTAATTTTCTGTTAAGCCCATTCAGATATTGTGTTTTTCAGCTCTTGAAAGTGCCACTTAGGTATTTTTGATATCTTTAATTTCTTGCTTCATTATGTTCATGTTTTCCTTTAAATCCTTGAGAAAAATTACAATAGCTGTTTTGAAGTTCTTGCTGCTGATTTCATTAACTCTGTAATTTCTGGCTGGTTTCTATTAACTGAGTTTTCTTAAGGTCACATTTTGCAGCATCATAACACATCTAGTAATTTTTGAGTGGATGTTGGACATGGAGTTCTGAATTTTTGTTGTTTTCTTTGACAGATTTTGAGCTTTCTCTGGCAGACAGTTACTTGTGGATCAACTGTATCTTTTAGAAGCTGCTTTTTTTTTTTTTGAGTTTGGTCTCACTCTGTTGCCCAGGCTGGAGTGCAGTGACACAATCACAGCTCACCACAACCTCCATCTCCTGGGATCAGGCAATCCCTCTACCTCAGTCTCCTGAATAGCTGGGGATACAGGCATGCACCACCATGCCCAGATAATTTTTTAATTTTTTATAGAGATGAAGTCTCACTATGTTGCTCAGGCTGGTGGGGGCTTATTTTTAAACTGTTAGGGTAACTCTCTACTCTAGAATCTTTTTGACTGGTTTAGTACTAAGAGGAGGGTTAGCCCTTCTCTGATCTCTACTCCCATGGGCTCAGTAAGGCTTGCTTGCCTCTCCTGATTATCAGAACATGAACATCTCTCAGTCCTGTGTGAGCTCGGGGGACTTTTTCAGCCCCGCACCAAGGTCATTGCCTGCCTGCACACATGCTTGGTTCATTATTCAATAACAGACCCACATATTTAAGCAGTTCTTTCTCTGCAGAGTTTTCTTCTATTTGGTACTCCAGTCCACAAAGTCTAGTTATCTCAGCTCCTCAAACTTTAATCTTCTCAACTTAGTATGACAGTCAGTGCCATGCTCGGGTCATCCCTTCCTGCATTAAGATAT